AATTTGTTACTTGACTCTTTGAGAGTATGTAAATATCTTATTTCTCAGCAGACTTTCACCCACGAGTTCTAGTGCCTGTTAGGGTTTCTGGCCTCATTGTTTCATCAATATTTAGGAGTTAAAGCCCGCCATTCTTGTGCACATATATCTTTCAACCAAATTTTGGCACAACTTTAATTCCATTTTAAGTAAATTCGGTCTTGAATATTTTATGAGAGATTTATCAGTATAAACTGAGGAGAGGTTATAGGAGAACTTGGTATGCCTGTTCCTAAAGAGTCTCAGTGTTAGCTCAGAATTCCTGCAAATTTCTATAATTTGCTTCATTCTTCTGTGAAAAGTTCTGAGCTAGTAGTAATGTTCATTTTCAGAAATAAAAAATTGTCCCTGTGAAATATGATATGGTTTGGAAAAGGAGAATAGCTAGAAATAGTCAAGTTTATTTTTCTTTGGTAGAAAATAGTCTTCAGTAATGTCATTATGACCTTATGTCATCATTTATCATATTACTGTGTTCCAAGAGAAGTTTGATTTTAAAAGCTTATGCTTGATTTATGTGTGGATTTGTTTTTGGAGGCTTATTGTTGAATATTAACATTCTATAAGACCTTTCCTTTGGCTAGTTTGCTGATGGTTCAGGAATTCAGAAGAAGTACAGTGATCTGGTAATAAACATATCATTCTTCACTACATAGATAGCCTTTTCACTTTTTTTCTGATACTATAAGTAATGTGTGAACTATTTTAATGGAAGAAGTGTGGTGAAGGTCTTGTGTATTTAACCTTTAAAGGAAACTCTGTGGAAAAATATATTGTTTTAAAAGAGCATGTTACCTCCTGAAGTTAAATAAGAGCAAACTTCTAACTCCAGAAAGTGTTGTGATTCATAATGTTGTTACTTTTTGTTTGCATTGTTGATGTTGTTTAGAAAGAAATATATTCAGGGGCGCCTGGGTGGCTTAGTCGGTTAAGCGTCCGACTTTCGCTTAGGTCATGATCTCACAGTTCGTGGGTTCGAGCCCCGCGTCGGGCTCTGTGCTGACTGCCAGCTCAGAGCCTGGAGCCTATTTCAGAGTCTGTGTCTCCCTCTCTCTCTGACCCTCCCCTGCTCACGCTGTCTCTCTCTCTCTCTCTCCTAGAAATAAATAAAAATATATTAAAAAAAAAAGAAAGAAATATATTCAGATAATGGGAATATAGATATATGTAGATATATGTGTGTATATATATGTATATATAACATTGATTCATTTTTGAGAGATGAAGAGAGGTAGAACATGAGTGGGAGTAGGGCAGAGAGAGAGGGAGACACAGAATCAGATGCAGGCTCCAGGCTCTCCGCTGACAGCACAGAGCTGGATAAGGGGCTCAAACCCACAGACTGCGAGACCATGACCTGAGCCGAAATCAGACACTTTACTGACTGAGCCACCCAGGCACTCCTGGGACAATAGATTTTTAAAACATCAAACCCTCACCCAAATAAAAGGCACTCTAATTATTTTGGAAAAATCATGACAGAAAAATTCCATCATTTGTTTTAGTCCTAAGAGACTGCAGTGGGTCTGTATTTTATGTGGGATGTTGTTAGGACATCCTTCTTTGAAATTTTTTGTGCACATGTGTACATTAGCATTGGTTAGCATATCATTGTAAGGCATCACCGTTCCATAGTCTTTAGAGTTGTTTTGACAGTGTTTGCAATATTGATTATATGTGTTCTTGCTCCTCACCCAGACAGACTCTCTGACTGTCTGAGTGGACACCAGTTATTTTAGAATTCTAGATCAGTCTTTTTTTTTTTCAGCCCATGGGAGTAAAGTAGAGGGTGTGATATTTTAAAGTTGAAATGAAAGTAGACAGAGTCATTTTCAAATATATGAAAAGCTATCCTAACTACTTCATTTGAGTGAGTGACAAACGTCTATTTAAAGGTGTCTTTTCTGTTGAATTGGGGAGTGACCCTTCAAAATCCTGTTGAAGAACATGCTCAGGTACCCACTCTTATGTGATCAGAATTGATATTTGAAATGAAACCTGCTACCCCAAAATTAGACTCCTTGCATGTTATACCAGCAGACAAGACTAAGGTCAGTAATGTGAAGATAAAGGCAGGCAAAACGCTCTCTGTGAAGGACTATTTACAGAGGAGAGCTGAGGCAGTGGAAGGGCTAACGTTAAAAGCAGGGCTAACCTCTAGACACCAGAAATGTTCACATGCAGACCTGGAGACTCAGAATAACTGCATGGTATATAACTTTCATAACTTCATCTCTTGCAAATGTTATGACACTTTGGTATCATTCAGTACGTTCAAGGCTGAAGCTAAAAGAATCAACACCAGTGTCTCCCCACAAAGCCTACAGAATACAAACTTATGGAGTTTTATTATATAAAATTACACTGTTTACATATATGCCACATAAGTCACATAAGTAATTTAGAATTATTTTAATTTGACTTTGAATCCCCTTACTAATAGAGTGGATCCATTTAAATGATCTAAATGACCACTGTGGTATTGCTTATGATAATAAGAAAACATTTACTTTTCATGTTTTCCAAGGCCAAATGTGAAAGGAAAACATATTGCCAACAGTGTACACCCACGATTTGTCAAGTGTTTATGCTTAGACCTACCAGTAACCAATGTTGAGTACTTGTTCATATCAGGTGGAGACTTAACGCAAATGGAGACTAACTGATGAAGTTATGGTCCCTCCTCTTACTTAACACATAGATAAACTGAAGAGCATAAAACAAGTGGTGTCAAAGGGACCCAGGGGGTCATTAATTCCAGTCTGTGTCATGCACAGTATTAACAAGGGTGCGTCATCAATGATTTTTAGGTGTGTCTCAATCAAGTGTGAGGTAGACTAGTGATTAGTGACAACCAATGAAAGATAAATATAAATATATACATATACATATATATATGGCCACCAGTAAAAGATATAAATATATATAATTCTATTTTATACATAATATAATATATACTTTCTATAATATGTATAAAATAGAAGAATAAAACTCATTATATAAATGAATATATATACAGTGAATATAAAACTTCACTGTAGCCCGGTGAAGAACAGTGAAGGCATTTGTCCCAGCAGAAAGCAGGAATGGAGAGGATACAGACTTCAGAAGTATTTAGGCGGTAAACAAACAGAGTGTGGGGATAAGGAGAGAGAGTAAAGAATAACTCCTGCTTTGGTGGGCGTTATTTAGGTCAGATGGTGGTACCACCAGCAGGAGAACAAAATAAGGGAGGTAGCAAGTCTAGAGATGGCTGTGATGAGTTCTTTCTGAAAATACTAATGTGTGGAAGTTTAGTGTATGAGCCTGAAGGTACAAGATACTGGGCTAGCGATGTGGGTCGGACAGTCAAAAGCTTACAGAGCCTGCTCTCCGAGAGTGAGGAGTCCTGCGGCATGTGGGCAGCGAGAACCCAGCGTATGTCTAAGTGGTCTTAAATCTTACTGGATATAATTGTCTTTTACATTTGATGGGGAGAATAGGAGCCAACAGTGGAGCCCCCTGTACCCTGCTGCGTAGACAGACTAACAACCTGGAGGGGAGAGGAAACCCTGTTTTAATAAGAGAAAAAATATTTTAGAGTGAAATTTCAAAGTCTCCTTGAAGAATTAATTGGCAACCGTGTCTTAAGAATTGTAGTGAGAAGCATGTTTTCCTGATTCAGATATTTATATGTCCTCTAAGTTTTGTCTTTGAAATATGTGCTTTTTAATTTTGAATTCTTTCTCACTATCACCAAAATTTCTTCAGAAATTTTCTTAGAAGTAATTCTTTTTTTTTTTTTTTTAATATTTTTATTTATTTCTAGGAGAGAGAGAGAGACAGTGTGAGCAGGGGAGGGTCAGAGAGAGAGGGAGTCACAGACTGAAACAGGCTCCAGGCTCCGAGCTGGCAGTCAGCACAGAGCCCGACGCGGGGCTCGAACCCACGAACCGCAAGACCATGACCTAAGCGAAAGTCGGACGCTCAACCGACTAAGCCACCCAGGCGCCCCAGAAGTAATTCTTAATTAACCTTTGTGGGATCTATAGGCTTCTAAGGCATTTATGATGGCATGGGCATAGAAACAAAATAAACTCTCGAGTCAGATCAGGATATCATTTATGTATCTGATACTTACTATTTGTGGGCCTATCAACAAATAAGCGCCCTCTTTGAGCCTTTCCTCAACTATAAAATGGGTAATGTCAACTTTTATTAACTTATTCTAAAGATTAACTTAAATAGTAGGTAGTAAGTATCTGGCATGTGATATATGCTCCGTAATTATTGAATTCCATACTAACATGAGCCCCAAAGTGGTTATTTGTCATTTATTTTTAGAAATATGGACTTCAGTTTGGGAGAAACTTGTATTAGAAATCAGTTAATAACATGAAAGATGATCGCAAATACTGACATACTGCTTTATGGTCTGCCAGACGTTATTTGAACACTTTATATCTGTTGGCTGATTTGATCCTCATGACAGCCCTGAGAGGTGGACACCGGTGATATGACAATTACATAGATGAGGTTGAGGCTTGGAGCTTAAGGGAGCAGCCTAAGTTTGCACGGTTTGGCAGTGACCAAACTTGGATTGTAGATTCTTAAGAACCTGTTTTTACAATCCCCCAAAGCGAAGCCTTGATCAGAGACTTCTGTCAGTATTTGGATGTTTCCAAAATATGTGTAGAACGTATATCAATTAGCATGTTATCATGGGTTTTTAACATCAGCTAAAATGTTTTAAAAGTTGATGGAGCACCTGGTGTATTACTTGGTTAAGAGTCTGACTCTTGATTTCAGCTCAGATCATGGTTCTGGGTTGTGTGATCAAGCCCTACCTCAGGCTCAGTCCTGGGCGTGGAGCCGGCTTAAGATCTCTCCCTCTACTACTTGTGCTCTCTGTCTCTCTCTAAATGCTGCACATGCTCCATTAACACTGTGACTTTCTAAACAGTGTCTATCTCTAATTTCAGCCTGTGAAGTTGAGGCGGGGAAAGTATACCAGGTATCCTCACAAGAGCACATCCAGCCTTTCAAAGAAAACATGGAACAGTTTATTATTCAAGGTAAATTCGAAAGAGACATGTTGCATTTCCCTCCTTTTTCACCAGAAAGGCAGGTAGAAGGCATTTTAAAAATATGCATTGGTTTAAAGGGGATTATTTTGATATCACAGAAAAACAAATGATGTTTAATCATGAGTCACACAGCCATGAGATACTAGCAATTTGGTAAACATACTATTATGGATATGCTTGTTATTTTTGTTTTTTAATGACAGTAAATATACAGTTAAGATAGTAACGATTTATAAAGATGTTAAAATTTTATGCTCTTTATGGTAGAAAATTAGATATTTTTCTAAGTTTTAACTATGCTTGTGACTTCAGCTCAACTTGGCATTTATTTAGTTTTTGAAAATGCTAAACAAAAAGAAGTATATTGATGTTTTCCAGGTCTTCAAAACATTAGATTCTATTTTTAAGGATGTATAAATACCTTTAGATATTTAACACCTTTTTTCTGGAAAGCTTAAGATGTAATCAATGTTACCATTTTTGACTCTTCTTGTGACATGAACAAGGATGGAAAAATTTCAGAAGATATTAAAGAAACAAAAAAATTTTAAAGAAGAAAACTATTTAAAAAGTCTTACCATTTTAAGTCATTGAAATTTACAATTATATCAAAGCATTTGCTGCTCAAAACATTTCTGCTTGAGAATGACATCTCTTCTGAAGATCAGATTTGTGTCATGCCATATTCTGGGAAAGTTCTTGCTGTCAGGAACTCTTCTAGAGGCTGACGTGGCTTGAGACTGAGGCCAAGTAGCACTCTGAAGACTGGCTCCATCCTCTGTTTATTAGGCTATGGTTTTTATAGGTTGTTCAAGTGTCGTTAATGATGATATACAGTGAATGAGTCATACTGGAATTTGATTAAATGTTAAACACAGCTTTTTTTTTAGATGGGAAAATACTATTTAATCACTTAAGAGCATCATGAAGATTGAAACAGAACTTTGGTCAGATTCATAAATCAAAGTGATTGTCATTTCTGAATTCTCAGGTCCTCATGTCTTAGAGTGGAAAATCTACTCAATAATTCCTAAATAGTCCTTGGAACAAAATCAGAGTCTTACAGTTGGATATTAGAGGGCACTGTAAGCTCAGTACATTCTTAACGATGGATAAAAATGAGTGTTGCTTTCTCCATTAGGTGGGATATTTAGATCAAGAACATGTAATTTGGGAGAACTATGAGGGTAAAGGATGGGATATTCTTTTTGCTTATATGAAGAAAAGAGTCCTTAATTCATTAACTCATTAAGGAAGGAATGAGTCTTTCTTCAATGCTCTTCTTCCATCACTTTCAGTTACTTTTTCTCTGGTCCTGTTCAAGTGCATTTTGATCACATGTTCATTGAAAACAATTTTGAGTACCTCTATTCGTCTAGATATTCAATAGCAGTGAATAAGAAAAAAATATATATGTATGTCTTAGTGGGTCTTACATTGTATATTATCCAGATGTCAGATAATGTCAATAGCAAATTCTTTGGAACATCTTACGTTGATCAAATATGTCAAAATTTGGAAGAAAAAAGTTCAGCTTTAAACATGAGTGAAAAATGCATTGCACTTTTGTGCAAAAATATATGCCAAACCTTTGCTTATAATTAGGCTTTCCTCAATAATAAAATAGTTTTATTACATTAACCTCTGTGCTCCGATGACCTCACATAGGTATTTTAATGTCTTTATATATCCTATCAAAGTCTTAATTTTTTTTTTATCATCCCATCAAAGTCTTTTTGACTGTGCCACATTTCTAAATCTAAAATCTCTCTCCAACAATTCAAGAGACTATGCCCATTACTGGACGAACATTTTTATTTCATTAGCTCCCACAACATAATAGAAACATCTCTTATCCTCATAATTCGGCTATTGTGTGATCTATGGAACACACATGAACAGTCTGGATTGCAACTAGCCCTATGCTCCACGGATTCACCCACTTTGTTACTCCCTGTCTTCCCAGTTTTTCTCAAGTCAAGATTTTATGGACTCTGCTTAAACACCTCTTCCTTGGGAATGTCCTCACCCCTGCTTTAAAAGAGGCAGATTTAGAGAATTAAGTCCTGCTTCTGCAAGGCATTCCTTGTTTGTAATGGTGCCAGCAATGTACCATCTTTGGAAGAACTGAAGTTCTCAATAATATTAACACTAATTAATGTTCTCAAATAATGTTCTGAACTCCAGCCAGCATTATATTCTTTGTAGTACTTACTGCTTTCTGCAGTTGTATTATTGATTGGTCCCTCAACAATGTGAGCTCCATTAAGAAGGCAGCCTTGTTTGGCTTCTTGCTATTCCTTTCTCTAGAACAGTGCCTAGCACATTGTACACAGTGTGGCTCACCTGACAAAACCAAACAACCCTCATCAAGCCCATCTCTTTGCTGTCTCTGAATTTAAACCAAAGTAGCTCAGCTCTTTTGAAGGTAGGAGGGTACTTACAGCAACACCAACTGGTATCACCTAAAATCACGACCACGGACCTGCCGTTGGAACTCATTTGAGCACTTCTCTAAGATTTTCCATGTAAATTTACTTTTCTCCATTTCTGAGATTTGCTCCTCTATTCTCCTCTCAAACCTCCACAGTCTTTCTCTTCTACTTTCTCATGACTCTGATGATAACCTCATCTTATCCTGTGGTGAGAAAACAGATGCTTTTGTACAGAAGCTACCACACTTCCCCAGCACCACATCTATAAACCTGCCTGAAGAACTTGGGCTTCATCCTGAATCCTTGGGGAGCAGAGGTTGAAAGACTTAAGAAAGTTTATGCTGGCAGAATCTGGGAAGGGAGACAGAAAGACCGGACTTGGAGACAGTAGAGTGCTTGCAAAATTGTTATGGCAAATTGTTAGAAAATGAGGAGGCCCCATTCTAAGGACATAATAATTGTCCTGAAGAGAGGACATATTTAAGGGATAACAATAGCAGAGAAGAGAAGTTACTTGGTGACCAAATATATATATATATATGGAGGTGATGCATAGGGTCCAGATTTCAGGCTTGTGTGGTGGGGAGTGGTGGTGTTAGTCACTAGGATAGAGAATATAAATATAGGAAAAGATTTGAATGGATAGCATGGCCATAAGTGGGCTCACAGGTGAATGTTCCCATCGAGCAGGTGGATATATGCCTTGGATATGGCAGAGAGCACAGATGGAGGATTGGGCATCATAAGCAAGGTGACTCTTGGGTAGATATGATCACCTAGAAAGATAAGAAAAATAGACTCAGGGATAGAACTCTTTAGTAGGATGCACTTATAGGATGGACATAGGAAGACCCAACAGTTGTTAGTTAGGTGGAAAGCAAACTAAGAAAGGCTGTTGTGATGGAAGCCAGAGTTAGGAATAGTTTCAGAAAGGAAAGAGTGATTATAGTAGTTCCTGGATAGAACAATTTTCTTGGATTGGCATAGATGGAAACGAGTTTTCTGAGCTTTTAACATTCAAGAGAAGTAAGGAAGTAGAAGGACGCAACTGCAACAGTTTTAAAAGTTATGTGGGATACTGTAACCAGCATAAGTGTTAGACAACTGTTTAATCAAAGTTGCTAAAATTTAACTTCTCTCTAATTCATGTCAACATACGTGATGATTTTATTTTTTAGATGTATTATGAAGAAACCTAATTAGTAATCACTGGACACTTATCCAGGATTTATCTGTAGTTTTTGCTTAATTTTCCTTTGTGCTTCTTTTTTCAAGTGGCAGAAAGCAAGAGGAAAGAAAGAAGAGATAAATGAGATCACTAGGGAAGCTCATGCTAAGCTAATATATCTCTCAGAATTCAGCAGACTCCTTCGTCTTTATTTTTCCCTTTTCTTTTTGAGTCGAAGTTGTATTATGGACAAAGTAGGCATATGAAAACCATATGCATAGATATAAAGAATTGCCTTTCTAGGTGTCTGTACGTGGGGAGATTGCTGGGAAAGAAATAGGAGCCTAGCTCTATGTCGTTGGCCTTCAAAGCCTCTTTGCTCATATGGTACACTTGGATAAGTGTTTATTTTCAAACCCAAGCTCAGCTGTTTGAGGCGGGAGGTAAATGGCAAATTAAGGGTCATTTCTCTCCATGCTATTATATGAAGTCCTTATTGTGATTTTATAAATCAGAAATGGCTGATGAGATGTTTATTAGCCTAACTATTAGCCTAACTCTCCATACCTCCACCCCTTCTCTTCCCAAACTTTCTTCCTGAAATGAAGCATAGTAAGTTATAGCTGAAATGAAGGAATAGAGCCAAGGTGACAGTGCATAAATTTGTAATTATATATGTATCATTATAAGAATGTTGAAACTTCCACCCTCAGCATACAATCTTTAGTATTGGTAATTCTTTTTTTTAAATAAAAAAAATTTTTTTAGAGCTTATTTTTGAGACAGAGAGAGACAGAGCACAAGTGGGATAGGGACAGAGAGACACAGTCTGAAACAGGCTCCAGTCTCTGAGCTGCCAGCACAGAGCCTGATGTGGGGCTCGAACCCAAAAACCGCGAGATCATGACCTGAGTGGAAGTCAGACACTTAACCGACTGAGCCGCCCAGGCGCCCCTGGTATTGGTAATTCGATGATTGAGAATGAGGAGATGGTGAAAGCAGTTGCATTAACTGTACCGAAGACTGGGAAGTCTGCCGGAAGTATGTTCTGCTGGACATGGTACCCATGGTGCCCTGTAAGCAGTGCTCCATATTCAGGGTGGGCGTCTTTGGTAGTGTTTTTATTTTTTATTTCTTTTTCAGAAAATATACTGAGAATTTTTTTAGTGATGTTAAAAGTGTAGGATGCATCATATGTTTGAAGTCTTTCACTGACCATTTAAAATTGAAAAGCAAACAATTGTCTTTTAAGCACACAACTTTTTACTTATTATTCATATAACAATAATAATATTAAGCATTAATACCAATCTTGTTGTGCTGAAGAATTAACTGAAGCCCTTTTTTACTCTCTGTGATTTTAGTTTCACAATTCTTTAGGACAG